ACAAATTAGCCAGGCATGGTGGTGTGTAGTTGTAGTCTCCACTTCTCAGGAGGCTGAGGCAGGAGAATTGCTTGAACCCGGGAGGTGGCAGTTGCAGTGAGCCAAGAATGTGCCACTGCACTCTAGCCTGGGTGACAGAGTGAGACTCCATCTTGAAAAAAAAAATGCTAAGAGTTACTGTTGGAAGAGGAGAGATTAGACCCCGAAGTCTTAGCTGCGGCGAGTTGGGTGTCTAAGCTCATTTAGGCTGGATTCTGGAGAAACTGGATTGGGAAGGAGTAGTGTTGAGGAAGAAGAAAGCAACCAAATCACACTGTTGCTTTGTGGAGTGATGAGGAAGTGTGTTTTAATAGGTTCTCTGTGCACTTGTGAATGGAATCCCCATTTGGTGTGCTTTTAAGAGACTTCAGGCAAGATTTAAATTGCTTTTCAGTTCCTTTTTTTTTTTTCTTTTGCATTCTTTGAATATAACTCCAGGCTGGCTTCAGGGTAAAGCAAGCCTCCTGGGCTCTGCGGAAGTTATCCTAGGAGTCGTTTTTATTTTTTGTCCTATCCTGAGGCCACTTATCTATAACATGTAAGACTGCGCCAGTCTGAGGTCTTCTGATGCCTCTGGCCTCCTTTGGGGACACATACTCTTCCCTTTCTCCCTGCCTCACTCCCAGTCATCCTCAGGTCACAGCTGGATGCCATTTCTTCAGAGAGGTCCTTGGTGGTCCTTTCAGCCTTAAGTGGAACTGTTCTATTTTTCTCTTTTATCGAATGCTGTTATTTTTCTTTCTTCATGGAATTCTGTCGTTCTTCCTTACAACACTTCTCATAATTTGTAAGTACATTTGAAAAACGTTTGGGGCTGGGCACGGTGGCCGACGCCTGTAATCCCAGCACTTTGGGAGGCCGAGGCGGGTGGATCACCTGAGGTCAGGAGTTTGAGGCAAGCCTGGCCAACATGGTGAAACCCCATCTCTACTAAAAATACAAAAACAAGCCTGGCATAGTGGTGCACACCTGTAATCCCAGCTACATAGGAGGCTGAGGCAGGAGAATTGCTTGAGCTTGGGAGGTGGAGGTTGCAGTGAGCAGCCAAGATCGCGCCATTGCACTCCAGCCTGGGCAACAAGAGTGAAACTCCATCTCAAAAACAAACAAACAAACAAAATAAATAAATAAAAGCACTGGGTGTGATTATTTAACATCTGCCTTCCATGCTAGCCCATAGGCTCTGTGGGAGCGGAGGCCCCTGTGTCTCTCTGTGTCCCTGCGCCAGTCCCTGACGGTGCCTGAGCAGATGCGGGTGATGCAGGGCCAGATGCTTGTGGGTGGCTACCATAACACGTCTGTTGCCATTTATTGAGTTTGTTTCTTGCTCTTAATTTTTGAGTTGAATGATGAATGAAACATACTCCTTTTGAAAAGAAATTGTTTTTCTTTTGAAAAACAAAACAAATAAGCATGCATTCAAGTGACTTGGTACTTTGTATCGAGACGTCTGTGTCAGGAGGAGACGTTTGCATTATTTTGTGAAAGAGGTTTAGAGAAAGAAGGTGACTGACCGAGATTAAATAATGTAAAAATGGTAAATGTCAGCTGGCTATATGTTTAACAAAACACAAAAGTCACTTTAAACCCCATCTCCCTTGTGGCTCTGGACTGCTTTAAACATTTCCCAGAGAACTTAATGGAAATCTCCTAACACCCTGTACCTGTGAATAAAAGGCAGATTGTCTGTATTCTCAGGTCCCAAAATGTATTCTGTCATTTATTGAGATGAACATTTGCACTAGCTGGTTATAGACGGTTGAGGTAGGAACACTGACGTGTGCTGTGTGTATTTGCCAGCTTAATGGGCTGCTTAGTATCGTTTAAATCTTACTTGTGTTGCTGCATGTGAAGATTTTTGATCATGCCTTTTGCTCAAGCCTTTTCCTGGACAAGGGATTAAATTTTGCCCAGGAACTCTTATGAATGAAAGAGAGAGCTAAGGCAGATGTATTTGCCGAAAGGCAATAGTTCACTTATTTATAGAATAAACCCCCAAATTGGTGAACTTTTTGATTACAAGGGTATTGAAAATTTTATAGGTCATATGCTGCAAATCGGTCTTCAGAAAAAGAATTCACATTTTATAGGGGGAGCACTTTGAGTCACATAGAAATTATGACTTGTACACTATTTACTGTTAAATACATGTAAGCTCGGTCTTACTCATAATCGCCTGTGGTAGGAACTGGATCATTATCTATTTTTAAAAGAATCAGCAAAGTGATATTTGCCGAATTCTTATGTGAGAAGACCTTCGAGATACGGTAGTGTTGAGAGGGTTAAATTGGGCCTTTTTGAATTTGTGGCTAGGTTAGTCATGACATTGATTTCAGCTTCATAATCTTAAAAAACATCTCTTCTTCATTTTGGCATTTGGTCTTGGCTTCTGTTGACAGTGTGGAATATTGCAGGGACTCGTCCTTCTCTCCTTGCCTTTGTATGAAAAGTCCTGCCATTTTATATTCTAAAAGATTTCTGGAAGATGAGCTACTAAGATATAAAGTAGTCTTTTGTTTGTTTTTTAAATATAAAGTACTGTCTTTGTTTGTTTTTTAAATGTGTGCATGCGTGTGTTTGGTCAGCTCCAATGATTTCAATGAAAAATTATTATGAAATACTTTAAATATATACACGTTAGGATAGAATCGTGAGTCCATTGTCCAGATTAAATAATTATCAATATTTGAGCATGCTAGTTTTATTTTTACTTTATTCTTCTTTTGTTGAAGCATTTAATTGCAGGTTATGAAGGAGTACACAGCGATGTCCTCCTTCATACTAACATCCATATCTGCAACACGGGAGGGTTTGCTCTCATCAGCCTTTCGTCTTGATCCACATGTGTTAAGTACCAACTGTGTTATCAGGCACCCTGCTAGGCATTAAGGACACTTGAATGAATAAGACACTAACCTGCCTCCCAAGGAAATTAAGGATCGATGAGAGAAACAAATACATGCGCTTGTGGGTGCCTTATGGTGCCTGTCAAATAACTCCTATGGGCAGAAATGTGTGCAAAATGCAGTGGAAGTACAGAAGAGGAACTGGTCAGCTGTGCAGGGCAGGGTGCTGAGAGAAGGTCAGGAAGGGCTGTGAGTGGTAGAACGCTGGGAGCAGCGTCTTCAAATATCAGTGGGCAAACAGAGAAAGGTGGGATAGAAGGAAGGGCCCTGCCGTTTGAGCTGGGGCGGAGGCTTCCCTTCTCTTCTGTTTGCTCACCAGTCAGCATCAGGCGACTGCCCAGTCTCATGCCAGGCCCTGGTACCTCCTTGCCCACCTCCTTGCCCCTCTGCCCTGGCCGACAGTTCCACTTACCCCTGTCCGCCCTCGCTCGCCCCCCGTCTGTCCGCCCTCGCTCAGCCCCGTCCGCCCTCTCTCGCCCTTGTCCGCCCTCGCTCGCCCCCGTCCGTCCGCCCGCCCTCGCTCAGCCCCATCCATCCTTGCTCGCCCCCGTCCGCCCTCGCTCGCCCCTGTCCGCACTCCCCGCGTCCGCCCTCGCTCGCCCCGTCCGCCCTCGCTCGCCCCGTCCACCCTCGCTCGCCCCCGTCCGCCCTCGCTCGCCCCTGTCCTCGCTCCCCGCATCCGCCCTCGCTCGCCCTGTCCGCCCTCGCTCGCCCCCGTCCGCCCTCGCTCGCCCCTGTCCGCGCTCCCCGCATCCGCCCTCGCTCGCCCCGTCTGCCCTCGCTCGCCCCGTCCGCCCTCGCTCAGCCCTGTCCACCCTCGCTCGCCCCCGTCCGCCCTCGCTCAGCCCTGTCTGCCCTCACTATTACCGTTTGTGTTTGTCCCGCATCCACCACACGTTTGTCTTCTCGGGGCTGCGGCCTGACTCTTCCCACAGGAATGCCAATGCCATGACAGCAGGCACTTTTTCTCCCTACTCGTTCTCCTGAACCTGCCTGGCTCGCTATTATGTTCTCAATAAATAACTTGTTAACCAACCGACTATCGTGAGCTATTACAGACTTTCAGTGCGTGTCAGGTTTGTCTGAGTTTGAATGGACCTTTTTGTGTTTTTTCATGGTCTAAGTTTTGGATCAACTGGAGTAGTGATTTGCCAGTCAGTGTGGTTGGTTATCAGAGTCATTGGTGGTGTGTGTGTTAAGAACACAGATTGGCCAGGAGCAATGGCTCATACCTGTAATCCCAGCACTTTGAGAGGCCAAGGTGGGAGGATTGCTCCAGGCCAGGAGTTCAAGCCTGGGCAACATGGGGAGACCCTGTCTCTACAGGCAAAAAAAAAAAAAAATTAGTTGGGCATGGTGGTGTGTACTCAGTAGTCCCAGCTACTCGGGAGGCTGAGATGGGAGGATTGGATTGCTTGAGCCCAGGAGGTCCAGGCCGCTGTGAATTGTGGTTGCACCAAGACACTCCAGCCTGGATGACAGAGCAAGACCCTGACCCTTAAAAAAAGAGGAAAAAATACTTTTCAATTGTTTGTGCATCCAGATTTCTCCATCTTTAATTCAAAGATGCTAAACTATTTTGGGGGGAGCAGCTGTAGAATTTAATTTTTTTTCTAAGTTTTTCTAATTTATCTATCCACTTTTCATTTTTCTCATATTTTAGAGAAATAGTATATTTTTGATTTAATGTTCTTGGTTTTTGATAATGAAGGCCCTTTAAATATGAGTATTTTCTTGAAAAAAAATGCATGCCTATAACTCAGATATATGAAAACCATCTTTTGTTCTAAGCTTATAACTATTTCAAAGTGGGCTATTTTGGAATCAGTCTTTGCAGAAGAGAGATGCTATAATGCAATGCCTGTTTTTGCTGTATGAAAATCAGGCCAACTTTATTTTACATGGTCATTAAAAGCAGATGTAATATTTTTTGTTGGTTGTTGAGTTTGATAGTTGAGGCATTTGTCTTCAAATTGCCAACGGTTACAGCTTAGCGTAACTATTTCCTGTCCCCGCTCCAAGTACTTTTGTGACGTTTTGTAACTTCCATCGCAGGCACGCACAGAGGCTGGGCCGCGGTCCAGATGCGTTTGCTCCATGAATTGGTCTACGCCTCCCGAAGGATGGGGAACCCTGCCCTCTCTGTCAGACACCTGTCCTTCCTTCTACAGACCATGCTGGACTTCTTGTCGGATCAGGGTGAGTGAGCTCAAACCATGATCTTTTCTTCAAGGAACTATGAATGAGAGCACTCCAGATGCTGGTTCATGTGAACCCTGGGCCTGGGTTTCAGTGGGTGGAAGATGCTGCCCAGCTCCTCATTGGTGAGAAGGTTCCTTCCCCGTGCCTCGGTCCCTCCGTCCACATCACTTCGCTGGGACACCTGTGCCACCTCCTCCTGCCTTCACGCCCTCTCCTCCTGCTCCTTGGCCGCCGCACTCCACGGCTTTTCCCTCCACCTCTCAGGCTTCTTCTCAGCCTCCTGTGTTGTCTCTCGTTTCCTTAGCCTGCCTTTTATAAAATATAAATGCCAAAGCATAACATTTACATCGCGGAGTGCACAGCTCATAGGAATGTTGCTGAGTGAATTCTCACCAAGCGGCCACCCGTGTAATCAACACCCAGATCAGAGATAGGCATCAGCAGAATCCCAGGGTCCCTCATGTCCCTTTGAGTCACTGGGTAACTCCCTCCTCCCTTCCAGAACCAGAGTTGAGGTTTGAGTGTGCTGGCTCTCATGGGACCACGCGGTCTCTGTGCCTGTTTCAAGGTTGCCTTTCTCCCGGGTTCCTTTCTAGGCCTTCAGCTTCTCTTCTTACACTCCTCTGCTGTCTGCTTTTTGAGTTTCAGTCATGACCTGTTTCCCTGGGCACTTGGGGCTCAGCCGCCCCAAACCTGCCTTCCTGCCTGTGCCTCTGGCCCTGGCCCAGTGTGCAGTGGCAGTTGGGTTCTCGGGGAAGTGCTGTCTGCTGTGGAGACTGATGTGTATAGAGTGTATTGGGAAGAACTCATGGGATCGACCCTGTGGAAGGAAAGAGACAGAGGCAAGACTGGACAGTGGGAGAAGCTGGCTCTCTGTGCTGTGTCGACACAGGCCTCAGCCGCATGGGAAGTTCTGCACTGCCGTGTCTGCAGACTTGTCCTATGTTGTTCTGTGGGGGGTGGGCCTTTCTACCCCCTCACTGACCAGCAGTGGCATGCAGGCTACCCTGGGTGATGTGGTTCTCTTCAGCAAGGAGACAAGGCCTCTGCTGACCCAGCGGGCCTGTATAGCTGGGAAGCCGTCAGAGAGATCTCTGGCCATGGGAGGGCCGAGGCTTCCTGTCCCTGTGCCAGGCCCTGGGTGCTCACTGTTCCCAGGAAGGGGCAGTGTCTCGATGAAGGGCCCTTTCCTGGTAGAGGACAGCTTCTGGGAGGCAGCACTCTCCCCTAGGGAACACGACTCCTCCCTGCAGGCGGTCTGGGTGGCTCTCTACTGCCCCCTGCAGTGCTGCGCCATCACTGCTACTGTCCCGGTGGGACCCCACTCCGCCACTCTCCTGTCCGGCACCTCCCAAGTTTCGCGCTTCTCTTGTTTTCGCATTTCTAAAACCAGTACATCTTTGTTTCCATCCCTTCACCCTCTGCTTTCCCCTGGCTGTTCTCTGTCTTTGAGCAGGCTCTGGCTCCTGGTTTATGTGGAGTGTGCCTCTTGGAGGGTGGCTGTGAGGTTTAAATGCACTAATTCTGGCCGGGCGTGGTGGCTCACACCTGTAATCCGAGCACTTTGGAGGCCCAGGTGGGTGGATCACCTGAGATCAGGAGTTCAAGACCAGCCTGGCCAACATGGCAAAACCCCATCTCTACTAAAAATACAAAAAATTAGCCAGGGGTGGTGGCAGGCCCTGTAATCCCAGCTACTTGGGAGGCTGCTGAGGGAGAATCACTTGAACCCAGTAGGGAGAGGTTGCAGTGAGCCAGTGTTGCTCCATTGCACTCCAGCCTGGGCAACAGGAGCGAAACTCCATCTCCAAAGAAAAAGAAACCCAGTATACATTAAGCAATCCTCATAAAGCCTATCTACTCAGCAGCACCTGTGGAAACACTAGCATTCTTTAAAGGAAACACTAATGTCTCTATAGTGATTTCCATGGCCATCTCTATCAGAAAGGAATTCTCCTTTTGTGAACTCCTGTAGGTCTTCGTTGCCAAGGTTTTGAAGGCACACACCACTTATTGTGGCCGTTTGCATCCTCTTGTGTGGAATAGCTGTTGTTTTCTATTGAAGACTTCTAGTGACAGCTGTGCAGCTTCTCCTCTGTGTGTGTTGTGTCTCTGTTGCTTTTGGGGCTGCATTTGAACTGTGCTAGTCATGGCTGTATCTGCAGAGTGAAGGTGGCTCCATGGCCTATTTGCACTCTGGCATTTTGGTGACAGGAGGAAGCAGCAGGCCAAGGGAGAGCTCCCAAAGCCACCTATGTCTCCTACCAGGGAGGCTGCGGCTCAGTGGCAGCTTGGGCAGAGGTCTGGTGTTACCTGCTCTAGTGAAGTTTTGCTCTCCCCAGTCTCTGGGGTGCTGCTCCACCCCTCCCCTGGGATCCACCCCTCCGGGATCCACCCCCCCTGGGATCCACCCCTCCCCAGGGATCCACCCCTCCCCTGGGATCCACCCTGCCCCTGAGATCCCCCCTCCCCCCTGGGATCCACCCCTCCCCTGGGATCTACCCCTCCCCTGGGATTTCTTGAATCTCCTCATGATCCAGCAACTCTAAGGGGCAGTACCTGGACTCTGTTTGTGCAGGAGTTTAGAATCCTGGGTGCCATCCCTGACCCATGGCACATCCCTCTGCCCTAGTAGCCAGGACTTCATTCTCCCCTGGTGGTGATGTCCTCACACACCTCATCTGAGCATGTACAATCCCCACGGCCGGCAAGTGGTGGTGACCCGGCCTTATGCCCTTCGCCTGAGCTGTCCATGTCACTCCTCGGCCTGCTGCGTCTGCTGCATCTTGAGTTTCTTCAGCACATACCTTCCTTCCCACAGCAGGGCCGGCGCACCTCCCTGTCCCCGCACACTGCCCCTTTACCATATGGCTCCTCTTGGGCCTTGAAACCCTTCACATGTCCCTAGCTAGACCAGGGGCTCTGGCCCGCTGCTGTCTTCCTTCCTGCACTTACCACAGTTACAGTTCAGTCATCAGTTGTGTGTTCAGTTGGTCAATGCTTGTCTCCCTCTGCGGGAGAAGACCTCATTCTGCCTGCTGTCTACCTGGAGCTGGACCTGGCAAAGACTGGATGCTAAGCGCATGGCTGTTGAGGTGTCAGTGATGTCCTGATGGCCTTTGCCTTAATCGTGACTGCCTATGGGAAAGTTGATTCTGACTTGGGTCCTCAGGCATTTTTCAAAAGCACATTCTTGACTAGGCGTGGTTGCTTACCACTGTAATCCCAGCACTGTGGGAGGCCGAGTCGGGCGGATCACCTGGGGTCAGGGGTTCGAGACCAGCCTGGCCAACATGGTGAAACCCTGTCTCTACTAAAAATACAAAAATTAACCGGGTGTGGTGGCGCATGCTACTTGGGAGGCTGAGGTAGGAGAATTGCTTGGACCTGGGAGGCAGAGGTTGTAGTGAGCCAAGATTGCACCACTGCACTCCAGCCTGGGCAACAGAGTGAGACTCCATCTCAAAAAAAAAAAATGCATACTCTTTTTACAATGGACATACATGTGCATGTACACTATGTGTGTATGTACACTATATGTATACGTATGCTGCATTGTGTATTTCTGTTGGAGTTTGTGTTTCTCAAGGCCATTTCTTCCCCTGTGGGTGCCCTGCAGTTTCCGCGGGACATGGGGAGCATTCCGTGCTTGTGAGATGAGTGAGTGGATGCAGGATCAAGAATTAGCGTGACCCACCCTACTCTTGTGTCAGGCTGATGAGTCCGACTGTCTTCACTCCAGACATGTGGGGCCTTGTCTTGTTTTTATGACAGCACTGAGAAGTAGGTTGTGTCTGCCAGCCCTGCGTGCTTGGAGGTTGATGTTTGCACGTGTGTCCATGAGATGGCCGCCAGGAAGAAAGAGTGGATGGGCACATAGGGCACTCAGTTGTTCTGTTGCCGCGTTTCTTTTTTGTTAATAGCATTATGCATTGATGAACATCCCCGCGCCTGGGAGTGGTAGTGGGTGAGCATTTGCCTGTCTGCCCTGCACTTCCTGTCCAGACTCACAGTCAGTGTCTTTCTTCAGGTGACAGAGAAAACCTCTGTAGGGAAATACAGTGAGAGCTCTCGTTGATGCTTCAACCTCTGTCTTCCCCTCCTTTTTCCTTATCCTGTTTTTATTTTTAAGCTTTGTTTACTTCTAAGCCTCTCCTATGATCATTGCACCTACTCCTCATGTGATCTTTGAAGAAGGGTGATCTGTATGCCGTAGTTTCGAGTAGACATTTTGTAACAGGTCACATTGGAGGCTCTTGCAATATATGTCTGTGAAGTACATAAATGTGAACTCTTATTGAACCGACATCTCTGACTGTGGCCTGTGGTCTTTGTCAGCCCTAGTTGAGGACAGAGGCTTCGAGTTGGCCATGGCTTGCCCGTTGGCCGTGGCTTGCCCATTTGACTGCTTGTCTCCCTCATGTGGTCACGTCTGGCCATTGCTTTTATGGCCAGACCCTTAGTGAACTCCCCCACCATGCTGTGATCTCTCTTCAGTATGTCTTTTCCACGCTGGAATCCTGAAGATAGTTTCTTTTTCTTTCTTTTTCTCTCCTTTTCTCTTTTTAAGATCTACCAGAAATACTGGAGGAGAATATGTGTTTAAAGTCTGAGTTTGATTTGGTCATGTAGGAATTTTTCTCTGTGGTATTTGTAGAGTGAGTTAGGAGAGATTCATCATCTCCATTTGGATGACTGACAGAGCTGCCAATGGACTTAGCTGAGTTTCACATCAGACAGCTTATGGGAAAAGAGAGGGAGGGCTGTGATCATGGTGTACTTCTAAGATCTTTTTCTTTTTTCTTTCTTTCTTTTTTTTTGAGACGGAGTTTTGCTCTTGTTACCCAGGCTGGAGTGCAATGGCGTGATCTCAGCTCGCTGCAACTTCTGCCTCCTGGGTTCAGGCAATTCTCCTGCCTCAGCCTCCCGAGTAGCCGGGATTACAGGCACGCGCCACCTTGCCCAGCTAATTTTTTGTATTTTGAGTAGAGACGGGG